CAAGTTATAATCCTATTACCAAGTTCTGAACATGACAAACAGGGTTGACCTTGTCGTCCTTTCACCCCCGAAACTTGTGCAAAAGGTTTCTTGTACAGTGGTACAGGGATGGAGTTAGGGATGCAGTTAGTAATGTTTAAGGTGAAAAGTCTGTTATGGTTCCCCTGCGACACTACAATGCCGCCATGTTGGGGAGGGGGCGACCGACTCCTACCCCTTCGCTCCCGGTGATGTACCGCTGCAGCTCTCCCTGCACTCCGAGGACGCCAATCTCAAGCTTTGTGTTCTGAAATCGAGTTGCAGTCACGTCAATCTCTACAAGTTAGGCAAATAAAAATTATTGACATGGCGCCGGAATCTAATTTGGCTTTCCCACTTATTTTACACTTTACATCTGTATACTAAAGGCTTTGACACACGATTCCGTATTTCTTGCATACGCATGCCTGGAAAACTACAAAAAAACTCTTGATGGATTTCTAGAATCCTTGCAGAATAATCACATACTATACTATTGTTTTCTCCTGAATGGCGTCACCATAAACATGTCCTATCTAACGCGTTAAAGTGAGGATATTTGCCATCACTTCAGAGGAGAGTTTGCCAATAAGTCGCACGGTGTTGATGCGTCGTTTCAATGTCAGCCTAACCGTGACCTACAAGCTTCAGGAAAGGCGGCTCTATGTAGACGATGTTTGCCTAACACCTGAGCATGCCTTCTCCCACTGGCTGAACATGATACCCATAGCCGCCCGCATCAGTGGCCCATTGTACACCCTGTTTGCGGGCCCGATGGGCCACTACTGCGCCAGACAATGGAGGATGGTGGTTCCCTATTCTACGGCTCATTTAGCTCTGAAGCTCACACAGCCGACTGGTTTTAGAAATACCGACTTGGGCGAAGTTCCCTTAAACGTAACACTAATAAAAGGGGCATGTACAGTCTATTCAGTGATAAATTTGGTACGGAAAGCTCCTTTCATTCAGGGACAGTGTTACTTACAATACATACGAGTATACAGCAAGCCCGGATCGTACTTTTCAAGTTTTCTTTTCTCCTGTTTAACAAGAAACAATTAATAATATAAAATTAACCTAATGATGTTGATGTGGCGATGCTCCCTTCTAGTACGGTGGTCTTTAGAGCGTCGTCCACAAAAGATTAGTCGGAAAGTTGTAGTTGTTAATGTGGTTTTATTCCCAGTTAACGGAGTTACACAAAGTATGAGTCTCTCTCACTCCGCTCAAGAGAAGACTGACTCAAGAAAGCATCTATCTCTCTGATGACAACTCTGTTTTACCTTGAACTAAATTAAGGGACTTGTTTACTACTTTTTAAATGAATGGACTTCTTATTACTGAACTTGAAGTTGTCCCTGAATCTGTGTTATGTGGCCTAGAAGAAGGGACTATTACCATATTTAGTTATGTTTTACGGTCCTACCTTACGTAACCTCAGTATACGTGTAACCTCAGTGTTCCACCCATTAACCCTTAAATTTTTGTACTGTCCTTAGACTGTGTCCTTAGATGTCCTTACAGTGTAACAGTGTCCTTGAATGGTGGATGACCTTGAATGTCCTCAGTGATGAATTTATATTGATTAATATAGATATTAAATTAACCGTTACGTCATCTACTCCATCTACTACGTGACACCTCTCCCTTCCTGAACAGGCAACGTCCGCGTTGCCCTGAGGTGACGTCATAACAAAAGTTATAAAAAATAACAAAAAGTATGATACACGTATATCGACTAAGATAGAGTATAACACTCAATGTTAGCGAACATTATTCTATACTGTTATCTCAAGTAACAACTCTAATAAGAGTCCTGTAGACTGTCCATATGAATGAATCAGTTCTTTATCAGTTCTCTTAGTTCATCAACAGTGTTTCCTCGTGCCCTCATGGCTGTCACGCGTCGCCACTCCGCTCTCCCCCTTGGTGACCGGCTTGCGCGCTCCCGCCGTCTCTGGACGCAACACGGGACCACAGGAAACGTCCGTCAGGAACTCCGTCCGTCTGGAAGATGCAGTGCTGGGTCAGTGCCCTCGGCATCCCGGCCCGGCGAGGTGCTCTCACGACCGCATCGTTACTTTGTGCGCGTCGGACCGTCGGGACGTCGTCTTCCTCACGTCGATCCTGCGGAGTTCACCTGCAGGGGTTGGGGTGGGGTGGAACAACGCATGCAACCAATGGCACACACACATGTACTACAGTACAACCGGTCTTATTCTCCTAAGACCCTACACAGTGGCACCAACCACGTGCCCTGCAACACGAGTACTCGTAACACCAGCGGCCAGCCTACCGGGCTGTCACAAACCGCACACGGTACCAATGTACCCTTCAACATGACACCTATTGTCACCTCTCAAATCTCGGCATCCACATGCCCTCAAAAAAACTCAGTGGCACCACCTGCCACCCACAACTCATGGCATCAACATGCCCTCAATAGACTCAAATCTGAGAAAACTGCAGAACCTGATTATGAATAACTGAATCCTGGACTTAAATCATCTCCCTTGGCCTCATCTCCTGGTCACTAATTTTCTACCCTTCCTCTTAATCAATGGTGTCCCTAGTCTCCCTACCTAACTCTATCAATGAGAGTTACCCATGGAAACCTAAACTGATGTTCCTACCAGCCGAATGCTCTCGTGATGCCCAAACATTCCCGCTACCCGGCAATGTTGCCCGAATGTCTGGCTTTCCAAGGCATCGTCCTGCAATCAGCTCCTACCCCTACTGGCATTGGGACCCACCCATTCTATCCTGTTCATATACACATTGAACACACTACAGTATTAGCACGTTAGTATAATATAAAACACAACCAACTAAACTACCATACTGTATAAAATATTCAACTCAAGGCAAGGGTCTCCCTTCCTGCTTGCCTTGCCAGGACCCACAAACTGTACAAGTGGCTCCCGGCCCACTAGCACTGACTTCTCTCCTCTTCGGCCCAACAGGCAGCCATTACTCAGATGCTGACGAACTTCAAAACCCCTAAACATCTTTCCCTAGCTGAACACAACTGGCTGACAAAAAATTACAGCACTATTCACTGTTTGAAGACAATGCTATGCTGCAAATCTAGGTAAAACTCAACATAGAAACGACAGTTTTTACGACTAAGAAAATTCTAAACAACCCTTGCTAACAAAGCTTCTACATAATTTTAAAAAGGACCGGTGCTACTAACAGTGTGCCATGTGGAAGCAACTTGTCGTTCCACCCACCTGCTCTGGTATCCAGCTCCACATCAGTATCTCCTTCTCCGTTGTAATGTTGGATCGTCCACCCCAGCCATCGCTACCAAAATGTGGCGATGAGGACCCCAGCCGTACTACCAAAATGTGGCGATGAGGACCCCAGCCGTACTACCAAAATGTGGCGATGCTCCCTTCTAGTACGGTGGTCTTTAGAGCGTCGTCCACAAAAGATTAGTCGGAAAGTTGTAGTTGTTAATGTGGTTTTATTCCCAGTTAACGGAGTTACACAAAGTATGAGTCTCTCTCACTCCGCTCAAGAGAAGACTGACTCAAGAAAGCATCTATCTCTCTGATGACAACTCTGTTTTACCTTGAACTAAATTAAGGGACTTGTTTACTACTTTTTAAATGAATGGACTTCTTATTACTGAACTTGAAGTTGTCCCTGAATCTGTGTTATGTGGCCTAGAAGAAGGGACTATTACCATATTTAGTTATGTTTTACGGTCCTACCTTACGTAACCTCAGTATACGTGTAACCTCAGTGTTCCACCCATTAACCCTTAAATTTTTGTACTGTCCTTAGACTGTGTCCTTAGATGTCCTTACAGTGTAACAGTGTCCTTGAATGGTGGATGACCTTGAATGTCCTCAGTGATGAATTTATATTGATTAATATAGATATTAAATTAACCGTTACGTCATCTACTCCATCTACTACGTGACATTGACATCATGTGGAATCCTGTGGTCTCGTTATAAGCCGGTTCATGGTTTGACAGACAGGAGTCTTCGACTTTGACATATTACCCACAATGCACCACACTTAACAAGCGCAGTTCTACCCGTGAACCTGTTTATTGGTGCAGACATGACGAAAACCTAGCGAAGACGCCTCACCTCGTTCTTCAGCTTCTCCAGCTCCACGGAGATGTTCAAGACTTCCTTCCGAACCTCCTTCACCTCCTGAGGGACGAGGCAAGACAAGGCCATACAATAATGCGTCTAATCTAGCTTAACTAAGAGTAGTTCAGCATCCAACTTTCGTGGATCACGTTCAAAATCAGAGGCAGGCTACTGGATGGCTAAGCACATTCATGGTATCGACGCTGTAGGACGTCACAGCTACAGATGCTTCTGCAGGTCTAGTTCAAAAACAAAGGTCATTGTTACTTCCATCTAGTTATTTGGTCGACCTAGTATGTCTTAACGCTGATGCCTCGTACTCACCTGTTCGTGTGTGCGTGTCTTGAAGTCCTGTTCTTGCGCCTTGAGCCGCAGGTTATCCTGAGCATCCTTGTAGGCTTTCTTGGTGTCGTACAGCTCCTGTATGGGGGGGTGGGGGGTGTATTAGTAACGACTTATCGCTCGTATATGATTGTGAGGTAACAAGGTAATGTTGATTTACATGTTAGCCCTTATTGCTTCCTAAGTAGAGGTAACGCTGCCTATCGACTTCGCTTTTAGCAGTTTTTCTATAACTATATACAAAATGTACAGTAAGTATATACACATAGACTCACACACCCTATTATATATTTCACGTTTGGGTTTACAATATCTTGGTTCAAAGTGTGAATAATGTATCCAACTGTGAAATCCACAATGTGCCTCCGAAAGCCTGCACTTCGAGAGCGCGCTGCTAGATGACAGTTTTAGAATTAGATCTGTGCCATGGTAACCTCGCCACGAGACGCAACAATGCCACTTATCATTACTGTTTATTAAGATATGATGATGATGATTACTGTTTCCAAATCAGCATCTTCTCAAAGAACTATATGTACGGACTCATGCATCTCATTGACACAGTTTCGTCAAGAAATATTCAAGAAACGCCAAACAGGCCAAACTGGCGGCCTTTGTTGTTACTTGGTCCAGTGATTTCTCTGAAGAAACGCATTCTGTTACGGATATGACCCCGAGGTCTGTTGGGTAAATGTAGAATTAGTTCCGGGTCAGCTCCTGCAGGGTCAGGCTGCCACCGGTCGAACCGCGTGGATTACAGAACTTTAACAGGGGATCATCTAGTCCTATAATGGTTGTCCTCCAAACAAAATCCGCTTGTTATCGATCATAACGCACTCATATCGTATTGCATTCTTCTCGAAATCAAACTTGGCTCCTCAGGAAGATCGCGTCGCGGCAAAAGGAGTAGTTTTTATATAGATGGATGTGTTCTTCACAAACATGCTGAAGCCTTTAATATATTACGTACGCTTGTCAACCAAAGAACTTTATCAACCTTGACTTGTATCATGTTACATGCTAAAAACGGTACGTTGTCAGCCTGCTACATGTGCATTCAAAACATTGCATCATATGGCATAATGGCCCTTTGAAGATTTATCACCCCAGGTGTGCCCTTATATTGAGGAGCCACTGAACCCAGATGTGCCGATGGTGTGGGAATCATTGGCGCTTTGGCACCAAGGACAGCTACGCTGGACTGTGCCGCTGAATTATTGATTGTGTTCAATAATACATGAACACTGACATGGGCGGACTGAGACTACGGTCAAGTTCATGCTCCATTGTTTATTCATACCATGATGACACTTACTAGCAAACTCCAAATCGAGATGATAACATTAGTACGGAATATAGCCAAGCCTTAAAGCGTATTGGTATTAACCTAGAAGAACCACAGACGGTCTAAACATTACTGATATATAAACACCACGGCGTGTCGGAGCCACGTGAAGGTTATCTGGTGTCTCGGTATGCGTGGTTAGATTAGGGCAGCTTTATCAATTTTGTTTCTTCCGGGTAGGCGTGGGTTTGCGTATATCTGTTCGTCCGAAAAGAGTAGGTTGACAGCATGTGGGTAAGGGAGATTGACAGGCAGAATAAAAGGACATGGGGAAATTCAGAAAGACGATGATTGTATTGAAATAAAGGTACTATCAATAAAAGTATAAAGCTGCTCTCACCGTTTTTAACTTTTCCAGCTCCCGTAAAGCTTCCTTGCGGCTCCTGCTCTCCTCGAATACCCTGAAAGGTAGGAAATAGAACAATCAATTGCAGTGGGTGTTACTGTTACTGTTGAACTGGGTTCCTGATCATCATGTGTTCTCGTACCATGTCTGTCTACTCTGCAGAGTTTGGGATGATATAACGTTGTTGGCACCCAAACAGTACCTTTCTATGTATTTCTTTATTGATCGGCTGAGTCTACAGAAAAACTATAGAATCGACATGTTTTTATACACAAAGAAACAATTAACTTTCTATAATAATAAAACATATTTGCAGTTTGTAACACAAGTATACATAGTGACAGGCGTTACGTGAAACAGGAAACTTGTAATCATAGCTTACATCCTTTTCTCTCCGGGTATTAAAAGACTGAGGCTCTTTCTTCGGAGGTCAGAGGTTTAGACAACACGAGCAGTCTGCATGTTTCTCAAGGCTGATTTTAATCTCTTCTTTCTTCTGCTATGTCCTTCCCTCCCTCCCCCAGGCTAGTGTTGTGTGGCATGTGGTGGGCAATTTGCGCGGTATTTACAGGTCAACAACTAATCAGAACAGATTAGGATAAATATAAATGGAAGAACGGAAAGAGGAAACGAGAACACAAAAAGTTCACGTTATTCACAACATGACTTTGGGGTGATATCTACTTGGTGGTCATTTTTCATATGACCCCATTTCCCTTAAACTTAAGAATACATGTGTAGTTATATTTCTGAACTTGCGTACTACCAATCCATTTATCTTAAACGGCATTGCGAATTCATGAAGGAGTGCCTAAACGTGCAAAGGTAGTGGACATACTCGCCTTTTTTTTGTTTTCTCTAAAAGAAGTGGAATGTGAAAGCTCCCACTATTTTTAAGGAGACTTGGGTTGGATAATTTCAATGAAAAGATGACTGTGTAATATATAGGTAAGTGGGAAACGGAGTGAAATTACAACGCGAACGGAACAGGCTGTGGTAGATAGTGTTGTTGTTGTCTAACTGTCAACGGGTCATTGACCTGTCAACATGGCGGGTCAGAGGTCAATTGGCGCAGGTAAATCATTTGGACAGGTGGTTGTTAAACTCGTTCTGTAATAGTTTTACGCTGGGGTTAACACAAACAGTCAACACAACACAGTAACTATGACTTTCGTCCCAAAATAGCTACAGTACTCAATTACTTTAATACTTAAAGTCTTCCTGTGAAAGGGGAAAATGCATTTGGCCTATTACACGCAAGGCAGAAAACCTAATGTTTTCCTACCTTCCAAGAGCTAGCAAATATAAGTACGCTAAGCTGTTATCTTGGACCACCATGCATGGTGCATTAATACCAATATCTGGGCGGAATGGTACGCAATGAGAAGTTAGCATGCCATTGTACACAATACAGGGGATTTGGAAGCCGATAGGGTTCATGTGTAGGTATTTAAGATACACCAAAGGAGTTCTCTCCATGTTGTTTGTGAATTACATTAGAGTCTTGACGCCAGTCTTTCCCTTTGAGGTTTCCATTGTTAGCTGTACATATACACGAACAGTGTAGGAAACAAATACTAGTACACGAAAGTCGGTTTCTACGGTTGGTTACAAGGGTCGCAAAAATAACAACCTACAAAACAAGGTTCACAAGTGCGTTTCTTTTGGTTGTTCATTGGTCGCTGTAAAGTGATCCAGCTGTTTTGTGTTATGCTTTGTGTTTTTTGCCAAGTTCAGCTACTGAAGTAACGCCCTGATGTTGACTCATATCCCGTGGCGATGGCGTGGGTTCGGATCGTCAAGTTCAACCATGTGGAACCTCTTCTGCTTCGGTGCTATACTCTAGACCAAACGACATCAGCATCACATGCCATATAGGAAGAGATTTAGGACATGTCTGATCACGTATTGAAAGTGGGTGGCATTTTATACAGGCTGTGAAAGTGAAATATATGTCATTAATAACATTTCTGTGCCTTTTGGATGCGCTCCAGAGAGCCTCTGTTTCGTTTGGCAGCGGTGCCAGGAAGTTACGCTATCGGATGTTCAGATATGACTGATATGATAAATGATCGGAGTCAGTTGGGAGGGGATATGTACTCACGCAATGTCTGGACGACGTGATGTGCGTGTCAATCAGGATGGGTGAAACCATTGAATAACACAGGGGTTTACTCTTCGCTATACGGCAACAACCGCGACGGTTTGCAGCTATTGTATACAATATGACAATTAGTAAGACATGTGCTTGTTATTTTTGTCCCTATAGCAGGGAAACAGGACGGTACTTTTATTTTGCTATTTTCCCTGTTCAAATTAGCGAATGCCTAAATTGTATTTCCCAATATTCCTTTCCAAAGTTTCAGTTGCAGTAAAACGTTATTGCTGTCTTTCATTGGAAGCAGAACTGTATTGGTTTGGGTTTAGTAATTGGGCCAGTACGTTCCTTGAGAAAGTAAAAAGTTTCAATATGGTGTGGGGTAGCTTTGGTACTCGTAAACTAAAGTCTGACTAACGCCCCCGCCCCTAAAACAACATGGTACGTCCCTAATTGACGACAACAAACATGGTGACTGCAATGTGACCTTGGCAGGCTCATCATTGTACCCGTAGTACACACCCTGATAACCGTGTCATGGGAGGGGGGCTGGCTTTATAGCGTCAGCGACAATTCCAACCGACAAATATGAAAAGGACGTCACTTTAAGTCTAACACAGTATACCCGAATAGACTGTCATGGTGTCAAACTCAGGTATGGGTACATACGAGGCGCCGAACGTCGATAGGTGCCGTAGCATTTTCTGCGAGGCTATAGCAGAAATGTGACGTTGACAAGGATCTGTTACGCTTTTATCTACTACAAGACAGCTGAATTTTCTACGACACGTCCACGATTTTCCCACGAATACCCTGAATTTGCTGTGGTAAATCTATCACACGATGAATGTGAATACCACGCCCTTATACACACGTGTGGGCACGTCAATACAGAATAGCTGTACACAGGCGACCTATATTGATGCAACCCAAATAGCACTAACCCAATTAAATACATTTACATAGCATCTGAATACAAAAACATCTGAGCTGAAACAAAACTTTCCTCGTTAACTTTCAGTAACGAGGCCGCACCATTTATACGTTACAGTTACAGTAGTGTTTGGAGGGTTAAGCGCCTCGTGTGAAGCAGTGCCAGGAAACCCGAGCCGATAAAACTGTCCTCAGACATGTCTGACATGTGTAGGGTGTGCTGTACCGGCTAACGCCTACTCACTGATAACGACACACGGGGCCGCCCAAACATGAAAACTGATAATGGAGTGAGTGAGTGTATGAGTGAGGGAGTGAAATACTAGTAGATGAAGTTATTGTGTTCATGGCTAGGCCTGGTACTACATCGGTATTATTCACTTTTCGAAAATCCTAAAACACAAATTCAGAAAAACATTGACATGAATTCGAAGTCAGGGGGCTTGATGGAAATCTGACTATATCTGTACCAAGTTTCTGTATAATTATTCAGTCCGGCATTTATTCATAATCTGAGAAGCAACAAAATGACTTGCTGCGGCCTTATTCTTGGATTGGTGTCGTGTTGCTCTGACTATACAAACTATCATAGTGTGACAATAGCGCTTTAAGTAGTTTTCATTGACTACCAACAAAGAAACCTTATGGGCAAAGAGACGCTTGGCATTATACTTAAACATTATCAACAACAACAAGTAAACAAACAATATCTCACTTGTGGTTGAAGGCTCGCATCTCCCTCTCCAGCCTCTGTACCTCCACCTGGAGATGCGCCCTCTCGGTGCTGAGGTCCGCCACCTTCTGCCGTCCCCGGTCTATCTCCTGCTGGAAGGTTCGGTACATCTCCGGAGAGACAGACCTGATCTCCAGCTCCGTCACGTTGTGGCGCAGCGTCCTGTTCTCCTGCTCCAGGAACCGCACCCGGTCCACGTAGTACATGAAGCGGGCGTTCAGTGCGACGATGTCGGCGGTGGGGGAGGTGGGGGGCTCGGGGCCCGGGTCGCCGACGGGGACGCTCGACAGTCTGCTCGAGGAGCTGGACACGACATACCGCTTGTGTCGCACCTCGGTCACGGTGGAGGTACTCGCCGTGCTCTCACCGTCAGATGTGCTGACGCTGTACGTCGTCGTCCCCAGACCCTCGTCGTCGGCGTCAGTGGACGTAAACGACGTCGACGTGACGACAGAAGCGGAAGCCGACTCGGACTCCATACTGTCTGCGTTATCAGTAGTACTCATGACGACGGCGGTTCACAATGTGTGACTAGTAAACACACGCGGGTCAGCAGAACGTTTCCCTCCGTCAGCAGGGCTCTGTCTGCCCTCCGCCCTCCCGTAAGAACTCCGGGAGCCTGCTGGCTGGAGTTACAGCCGTTGTCGCGCGGGAAAACACACCGTCAGGCCGCCATGGCCGCTCGCCCTCCCCGCGAGTTCCGCGCCGTCTAAAGGTCACGGAGTAAATAAACCCACGGCTGGCGTGCCAACCTCGGGTGGGCGTGTCCGCTGTCATTATATCCACTCACCTGGCGGCGGGATGTCTTTGTTCTCACCTTCACGCAGGTGAGACGGTAGTGTGCCGTGGTGTTTACATGTCGTGTAGGGTGTTGTGACGTTCGGAAGACAGTGAAAGCGACAACGAGTGAAGTTTACTGTGTTAACATAATTCTAAGTGGGCAGGGATAACAATGCAGAGGTCAGGCTTCGACACCATGTACAGAAAGGGCGCTGCATTTGGTCAGCGTGCGAAGAGCCTAAAGACGCTAGTTAACATGCTGCGTTACTAGCCCGGTCATTTTATACCTGTATCTGCTTTCACCGCATTTTTCGAAAAGAAAAACAGCAACATGTGAACAAGATGTGAACAAGAAAATATACTCGAACCTACGATTAGCTCCACTAATGATGTCCCTTATTGTTTAGCAAGTATAATTTTATTATTTATTTTGCATTTTCTATTCTATAGTTGATGATACGCAAGTTGCTATACCCCACAATTCGTTCTTTGTCTTTTGCTGATAGCGTCACACACTTTTGCGTCCTGTTTTTAGTCAGTCTCTTGTTCTGTCGCTCCCTGCTAGCCTCGAGCTCACACGGAAACAGACAACACTTCGCGGTCCATTGGGGAGGAAATTTAATACCTATCCACACTCTGGGCTCTGATTGGCTGACTGATCGCGTCTGTCCTCCGGGGACAATTTATTTCCTCAGCCGATTAAACTGTGCTCGTTAGGTACTTACCTGTCTACCTGTCCAACAGGTGTGCACAATACCCCGCTATCAGGTCAGAACAATCGACCTATTTTCGAATTCTATCGTATCATATCAGAAATGAAACAGACCATTCATGAGGCCTTCCAAAAAAACTTTTAAAACGATTTTTGAGAACGAACAAGGAATTACTTTATCAGTTAAACCTCTATCTCTTCATGTGTTTATCTGTCGAACATGTTTTAAATGCACAGTGTTAGGTGAGAACAATTATCTGTCAAATAGGGCATAAATAATGTACAGGAACATCAACAAAACAGAACGTCGAAGCCGACAAAAAGCCATGAAAAGTTCGCGATCGTCGAAGCGATGAAGAAAGTTGTGTTATCAAATAACAAATATTTTTAATTTTTATCACAGCAGCTGGGGACCTAAGCTAGAAATATCCGTCTATTAAATGTTTATAATTTAGTCTTACAATCAACCAGCCTCAAATAAACCCTAACTGGCGCAAGGAACGAGTGAAACACGCGTTGTGCAAACGCCGCAGTATTGATTGACAAGGTTCTAAAATAGCAAGTAATGCATCGTGGGGGTATAGCTCAGTGGTAGAGCATTCGACTGCAGATCGAGAGGTCCCCGGTTCAAATCCGGGTGCCCCCTTGTTTTGTCATGTGGGAAACTAAAATGCATAGAATACTTTTTTTTGTGTCGTAGTTTACTTTTTACCTGCTAAAACAGCGCTCAGATTATATTCTCAATTCTAATCTGTCGTTGCGTAATAAGAATCCGTGCAGGATATATAGAGACAACTTTTCGTCACCAAAAGAAATGAGAAAGAACAAAAACATTCACTGCTTTTGCCGCCACATATACATAATTACAGGTAAGTTGCAAACAATTACCCACCAAGTAACCCTGTTTATTTTCTAACCATCGGAGCGTGTAGGTGTCAGTCCAGACCTACCTGTCCAACACCTGTAGTTACGGTTGGACGCACTTCTCTGTGGTTACAAAGGTGACAGATCTAACACATGCCATAGCTTATCTCACTTGTTTCAATCAACTTTGTACATTGGTACCTTTGCTTTGACCAACATACAAGTGTGGCCCAGTGAGCCAAAAATGTACGAGAAAGGTCTTCATTCATTATCACAGTTCACTGACACTTGCCGTGTTATTCTGACATCTCTAGCCTTTACTGACGCGTAGCGTTTATTTTGCTCCGCCCATATAAACATCAACTGGGCCGTTGGTTGTACCAGGGGGGCGTTTAAACACCCGGCCGTGTTACACTGGTCAGTGAGCGCAAAGAATTCCTATCACTTTTTAGGGTTATCTTTCGATGGATGTGTTGGTTGGTTTATAGGATAACAAGACAAAAAACGAAGCACTGAAAGTTCTATGAAATAAGAAGATATGAAGAAGAACAGAGACAGAACAACGTTATATTAGCATGCACGTGTGGAAGAAACTGTTCTGGACAACATAAAACTTGTTAACACGATTTGGAACACCAACTTTTGTAATTTTATGGAAGGTTCACGTTGGAAAGCGCCTCCAAGCACCGTGCCAGTGCCATCTCTACTATGGACTATACCTGCGAAGGGCATATCTCCCCGCCTTTGGCAAATATCTCATCAGTCTGCACCTCAATAAATCAAACAAAGGGAGAAAGGTAAAGACCACAGTACTGTAGGCGAAGATCTTATTATTCTGGTCCATGTCAAAAGGCAAAGAGACGAGGTCGTTTTTTCCAGAAGGCGGAACTGTTCCATGAAGCAGCCGGTGCTTAATTCAACGGTGATTAGACATTGGGAGGAAAGTGGAGTGAAACTGCTTCCAACCACATCTGAAACGTGTATAAGGGTCAATGGAGGACGGAACAGAAGCATAAAGTACATATGTAGCTACAAGAAGGATTGGTGTCACCTACAAACAACATGGAATTGTGCATTAAACTATCACTAGACGCTCAATTACACACATTCCTACCCTGGCCACCATGTCAAGAACTACCCGTTAACCTAATGTTTACACCGCCGCGCGGATATAAACACTTGTGCCGTTGATAACAGCTGGTATGTTCACCTGTCCTTGATCCAAGTTATGTTAGGCGACCTCTGGCGGTTATACATATCACTGCAAGGACATGGTATGCTTTTCTTCAAAACGACTTTTAAGTAAAGCCATGTAGATTTGATTATATGGATGACATCCACGCGCGCATGGATTTTCGTCCGTTTCCAAAAAAAAACCAAATACCTGCAGTATGGTGGACCTTTGGTTGCAATGGGATTTAGTGATGTCATTTCGGTGTTCTTAACGGGACCGTGACGTCAGTAGAGCACTGTATCGTCATGGTTCATACCAGAATGTTTTTTCTGTGATGTGGGATAGTAGGACACAGAAGAGCAGTGTATCATGCACAGTTCCTATCAAGATTATGTGTTGCTATGGATACCATGACGTCACAGCGGGACCGTGACGTCACAGTAGAGCAGCGTGTCGTGCACGGTCCCTATGAGCAGGCGTCTGTTGTAGACCACCGCCGCGCTGGAGCCGTTCAGCTGCCGCCCGTCGTTAGCGTACAGCTCCGTCACTTCCGGGGAGGCTCCCGCCGGGTCCTGGATCCGCAGTACCTGGAGAGAGTTTGGGGGGGAGGGGGGGGGGGGGTAAATAGCCAGCCGTAGTATCTATTTCTGACCATCCGACTAGTACTGCAGTCATTTGATGATCATGCACGTCGACTGATAACAGTGCATCTCTGTTGTATTCCAGAATCGTGCAAATCTGACAGCTAGTCCACGCGTATCCAGAACCGTACACATCTACGTTCGTGGATACGGGTAGACTATCCAGAACCGTGCCTGATCCTGACCCTAACCCATTGACCATAGAACTTGACTCGATGACGGGCACGGTTCTGGACCTGACATCTTCCTTCCTTATGCTGAGGTCACATTTCCAAACCGGGGCCCGGCCGGGCAGCTTTTGGGAACGAAAAGTACGATGTAAAAGACAACAAAACACAGAAACGTTTTTGATAATAATCATGGGCACTATTTTTGTATACTCTTCATATGGATTGTTAATTTTTCGTTCATACAAACAGCCCGACCGGGCCCTGGCCTGGGAATGCATTACCCCTGTAGTTACCTGGGAAGGCGCTAGGTGGCGTCTGTCTTGTATATGTTTGAAGATGTCCGTCACACTGGGATGAGCAGCTACCCACAGGTCACCTGAGGTCAGACACTTCGATCTCATTAATAATTAAAACCAAAAAACTAACGTCATCATTAAATTACTATCAATAACTAACAAAGCTGACTTCTTCAGTTAACGATCTCATCGTTAACCAACAAAAATAACTTCAGTAGTTAACAATTAAAACTAATTAAAACTAAAAGAGCCACGTAGGTCACGATTGGTCAATCATCGTATACAAATATAAATGAGTCATTGACTGTTTAGCTCGATATAAAACTCTTGTTCCTAATCAAAAGCATAAATCTTCTCAAGCCAGACGAACCGTTGCAGAATGGAACCCGTCTCCTTCAAAACAGATACTGAAACCGCGCTATTAGAGCTGCATATGGATGGTTTAGGTTAACAGGTCTTTGGGTCTAATATGTTGTACCGAGGGGCAGTTATACCTGGTGAAAAATACAGATTCAGAACCGAGATACCTGTGTCCGGACAGATGTTCAGGTTGTCCACCCCAGTGAAGAGGTGTATGACGCTCTGCAGCTCCAGACTGTGGTCGGGGCGAGGTCGGAACACTTTAACGTCCTGTTGCAGCGAGTCGCTGACGTACACGACCTCGCCGCTAGGAGGCGTTACGACGCTGTTGGCGACGGAGAACCCATCCGCAGCAACAGAGGCGACCGAGCCATTGTAGTAGACCACGTTAGACCAGGCTGGCCCCAGGAACCTGAGGACGAGAGGAAACTACGTTAGTCCAGGTTGCCTCTAGGAACTTGGATACGAGAGGAAAACACGATACACCCCGCTTAGACAGGATTTCGAATCGCGAAATCGCGATTGAGGTCCAATCCCGATTGAATCGCGATTGATTTTTCTGAATGTGAACGCTCCAATCGCGATTGAATCGCTAAAAAATTAAACCCGATTCTGGGAGGTGGATTCAATCGCGATTGACGGCAATTCCCGTGCGGAAGGAACGCAATCGCGATTGGATGAGCCGACAAGTGTGAACGCTTCGGGATCCAATCGCGATTGGATCCCAGATGTGGATTTAATGTGAACGGGGTGTTAGACCAGGCTGGCTCCAGGAACCTGGGGGCGAGAGGAAATCTTGAAAACACGCTAGACAAGGCTGGCCTTTGCATGAGAGGAAATCACATTTATAACAACAGACCAGGCTGGCTCCTGGAACCAGTAGACGAGAGGAAATCACGTTTATAATTTACTATTAAACAACAGACCAGGCTGGCTCCTGGAACCAGTGGACGAGAGGAAACTACGTTTATAACAACAGACCAGACTGGCTCCTGGAACCAGTGGACGAGAGGAAAGCACGTTTATAACAACAGACCAGACTGGCTCCTGGAACCAGTGGACGAGAGGAAAGCACGTTTATAACAACAGACCAGGCGGGCTCCTGGAACCAGTGGACGAGAGGAAACTACGTTTGACCAATATGAAGAAAGTGGCTATAGACCAGGCAAAGATCGCCGGCTGTCCACTCACCGTTCCAGCTTCTTGGCCCAGGGAGCACGGCAGTAATGGTCGTTGGTGGCGAAGAAAGCGTCCGTTCCCATGGCGACCACGTCGTTGACGCTGTACAACAAGGGGTCCTGTACGGATCTGATAAGCTTCAGTTTGCCCTCTGGCCGCACGTAACGAAAAATCTCCACTCGTTCTCCGTCCTGGCGAAAAAGACAGGTACTGCAGTTTTAAACAAGGTAGGATAAGTTCAAGTCAATGTTCATTACTTCCCGTAACTCCCCGTACCGCGTAAGGTTGGGAGGTTAAATTTTAACTCCTGTCGTGTGAGACCATTCACGAGTTGCACATTCCCAGGATCCTTTGCGCACAGGGTAGGTCACGTGGGTACAGGGTAGGGAAAGGTCGCGGTAAACCACGTGACTCATCCTCGGCTCTGGTCGGAAGAAGGTGCCCTAAGCTATCTGGCCGATAGTAGGCTGGGAGCATTCAATTTCAAAAGTCTGTCTTTTTGTCACATTTTCACGTAGTATGTTGAATCAACCCTATCCTATCCCATACCGATAGTCATGGAGCAAAAATTCGATGCCGCTTTGCCGTACGAACGCCGTGAAAAACTACGTGCCTCCCGCCGCCGGCAGTGGTGTCAGCCATTTTTGAAATTTCCGAGCGCTCGCGAACACTTCCGACTTCTTCCGACCAGAGCCGAGGATGAGTCACGTGGTTTACCGCGACCTTTCCCTACCCTGTGCGCCCACGTGACCTACCCTGTGCGCAAAGGATCCTGGGAATGTGCAACTCGTGAATATGAAGCTCAAATGAGACATTTTCTGATTGCATCTAACAATAGTAGTATTTTTACGTTGACATACATAATTACTTCTCAAGTACACATTTTTCGAGACATTTGCACATTTTAAACGTCTAGAAAGTTCTCTGACCGACCTTGAGATGGTTAACAACAAAGAGTCGGATTTCTCCAGCCTGGTTCTCGTACAGACCCAACCCGTGTGGCTGCAGGTCCTCATACTTCTCCCGCGGCTCAATCTTCAACTCCCTCACTCCGTCCTCAGGGTTCTTGAGGTTAAAAAGGAGGATCTTCCCTTTCCGCTGTAGGTACCAGGGGTCAGGGTTGAAGACGGGGGACGCTATTAACCCCGTGGATATGAAGGCGAGCCCGTCCCGGGTACGTACGATGTCCTCCGACCCATGCACGACCCCCTCCACCGGCCGGCACGTGCCAGGCACGTGATTGTACACCGTCTCCCTGTGGTCACCGAACTGAAGACTAGGCTGGAACAGGCGCTGGAACAGGAACGCTGCCAGTGGGACGAACAGCATCAGAAGTTTTGACGCCATTTTCTCGCCAGGCATATGACGGACTTTGACCTTAGCGGTGTTCGACGGCTGACGTCACTATTTATCTGGCATGATGCCATGGCACGGTGACCACAGGGGACCACAACATCACGGTACGAAGTTTTATTTTGCTTTATTTGTGTTTACTAAATTACTCGTACACTTGTTGACACTCACGTGACAAATGAGTACGTAATGTCTATGGTCAAACTTGCAAGTTGACAGGCACAGTTGGATTTCTATGTATTTACAGCACGTCACCGTGACATCAGACACACCACCCAACAATATTCACAAAGGTACAGTAACGCCACGTGCTCAGTTCTTACCAGGAATGCGTGTGTTGTTATGGGATGCCATGACATCACAGTGGGACCGTGACGTCACAGTAGAGTAGCATTTCGTGTACGGTTCCTATCAGGACTATGTGTTGCCATGGATACCATGACGTCACAGCGGGACCGTGACGTCACAGTAGAGCAGCGTGTCGTGCACGGTCCCTATGAGCAGGCGTCTGTTGTAGACCACCGCCGCGCTGGAGCCGTTCAGCTGCCGCCCGTCGTTAGCGTACAGCTCCGTCACTTCCGGGGAGGCTCCCGCCGGGTCCTGGATCCGCAGTACCTGGAGAGGGCAGAACGTATTTAAAAAATGTAAAAAAAGGGAAAGGAAACGATTTAACATAAAAGTGCTTTCTAAATAAAAAAAAAGGGGGCACCCGGATTTGAACCGGGGACCTCTCGATCTGCAGTCGAATGCTCTACCACTGAGCTATACCCCCAAGCTGCAGTCACCGACGTATGGTAGAAATGAAATCTGTTTATATATAGTAAACTGTACCCAGGTACCACATCCTGGTTGGGAGAAAATACGTTCTGTAGAATCTGATGTGCTATGCATATTACCTTCCGGATTTCGTGCAGACGCAGTCCGTTCTGCCATGCTCATGTACTGTGACCTTTGTTTGTATAGAAATAAACTCTTTTATTTTCTTTCCTTTAATTTGTCCTCCTGACCTCCCTCTTCGTCCTCCATTCTCGTTACTCACTTTGTCGATCCAATTTGTTTCCAACCTACACCCACCTGTGATGATGATGGGTTAATCCTGTCCTCCATGTGTTTGTTGAAAGATCCATGTGCCCCGATCCACAGGTCACCTGAGGTCAACACACAACAATCCACAGGTCTTTTAAGGTCTACACACAACATTAAGGTCACCTGTCAAATATGCATGGGTGGACCTCTGACCTTCAACTCGAGTCACGTGACTACAAGGTCACTTGGCCGAAGGTCCTTCTCCTGAAGAAGGCCCCACAGTTAGATAAAACAGTTAGCAATGTTGCAACTGTTGCAGTCTGGATTACCATTACGACAAGTTCATAGAAAACTTTATATACAGTTTGGAAAGAGAAGGTATAATGTGGAGATGTATCGGGTTGTGAAATGTGACACCTGTGTCCGGACAGACGTCCACGTTGTCCACGCTCGTGGCCAGGTGGATCTCCCGCTCCAGCTGAAGCCTGTTGTCTGCACGACGCCGGAACACCTGGACGGCCTGACGAGGGGTGTCGCAGACGTACACAAACCTGCCGCCAGGGGGCGCATTGATACCGTTGGCAAAGGCGAATCCTTCCGCGGCGACGAAGGCATCGGAGCCGTCATAGTAAACCACATTAGACCAGCACGGTGATAGGAAACTGGGCAGACAGGAAAAACAAACAAGGTACCATCAGTCAACTATAAAATATAATACATATATGTAACATTACTATTTTGTATGACACATTCCTACCTCTCCAATCGTTTTGCCCAAGGCCTGACGCTGTACATGTCGTTTGTCGCGTAGAACGAATCCGTTCCCACGGCAACAACGTCGTTCATGCTGTACAGCAGGTGGTGCTGCACTGACCTGACCAGCCGCAGGGTGGTGTTGGTCTTTAAGTACCGGAATATGTCTATCCGGTCACCGTCCTGGGGAAAATGACAAGAAATGCAGGTCCAATGAGAAGCACTAAATGTGCTATCAGCCCCAATTTCTCTAACCCGCTTCGGTGTAAAAAAAAAGGCCGTCCTTAACAAAAGAGTGAGTTTTTATAATGACAAAACAAGGGGGCACCCGGATTTGAACCGGGGACCTCTCGATCTGCAGTCGAATGCTCTACCACTGAGCTATACCCCCACGCTGGAATCACGAGTATATGCCGGAAATCATATACTTGTAAACAGTAAAGAAGTCGACATGACGACAAAAATAGTAAACAAATCGACAAAAGATATGACGCAATCACTGCCTGAGTTTCATATCCTGGTATGATAGAAAGGACATATGTTTTTTGCTTTGACAATTACCACACAGAAATAATACGGGAACAAAAATGCAAATGTAGCCTTTGCAAGCAATCGTATTTGCTATCAATCGATATTTACCAAATATTCCAGGCATACACTTTATTAGTTGAAAACAAACTGCAGCAAACCTTGTGATGGTTCACAACAAACAGTCTGATCTCTCCGCTGTCCTGGTTCTCGTACAGACCCAACCCGTGTGGCTCCAGGCCCTCCGACTTCTCCCCAGGCTCAATCTTCAACTCCCTCACTCCGTCCTCAGGGTTCTTGAAGTTGAATAGGAGGATCTTCCCCACTCCCTGGAGGTACCAGGGGTCGGGAGTGAGGACTGGGGCTGGCCTCACCCCCGTGGATATGAAGGCGAGCCCGTCCCGGGTACGTACGATGTCCTCCGACCCATGCACGACCCCCTCCACCGGCCGGCACGTGCCAGGCACGTGATTGTACACCGTCTCCCTGTGGTCACCGAACTGAAGTCTTGGGCGGAACACAAAATGGACGACAATGGCGGCCACTGCAACGAGTAGGACTAAAAGTTTGGCTGCCATTTCAACTACAAGCGTCCACACTCAAGGATAGCGGAGGGACGGTCCAAATTCCACTTGTAGTTCCTGTCGTGAACTCTTTGACCTATGGCGTTTTGTCCACCATTGTTGTTGTTGTGTTGATCTAAAACACCGGTGATGCGTTTTCGGGACCTAAAAACATTGCATCTGTTCAAACCTGCCTTTTGCTCGGTGATAACTTGCTATGTCACACTGAAATTTGGACGGACTCACATACTTCAACTTTTAGAGTTAGCACTATTGATGTTTGCACAGTGCAATATTTGTTTCCCGATTGTTCAAATATTTGACACCTGCCAACTAACGATACTAATCTGCTCTCCTACTCGAGACCTGCACCAATTCCAAAGGTTGATGCTATCGCGAGAAAAAGGTTAACTCAATCATTGCAGGGAGAAAAATCAGCAGAAAATGGCCTCTTTGAGAGCTGTTCTCCTCCTGGTAATCGCCGCCGTCCTGCTGGCGTGGGTAACCGCGGTGTCTGACCGCCCCTGCCCGGAGCACTGCGAGTGTCAGCAGGGCACCCTGATCGTGAACTGCAGCCGCCTGAGCCTGACCTCCGTACCGCCCGGCCTCCCCGCCAACGTGCAGCAGCTCATCCTGGAGAACAACGACATCGCTAAGGTCTCAAGGAGCGACTTCCAAGGGCTCAAGTCTCTCCAGTTCTTAGACCTGAGCTCTAACCAGTTAAGCAGCCACGGTATCCCAGAAGGCGCGTTTGATGATCTCCCCTCCCTCCGGACTCTGGACCTGTCTGGTAACAGGAAGTTTGTCGATATTCCCGCGTCCCTACCATCACAGCTGACGACCCTGTACTTCATAGAGAACAGTCTAACCCACGTCAGGAAGGACGCCTTCACAAACTTGACTGATCTGATTTATCTGGACATTTCCTACAACGGGGTGGAGAGCATCGCGCCAGGTGCGTTTCAGAACCTGTCAAACCTGGCCGTATTTTACTGTGACTTCAACAAACTTAAAGACAACGGCGTTCCTCCAAGTGTCTTCAAGCCTGCCGGTAAACTGTCTATCCTGGGCCTGAGGTTTAACCAGCTGACCCGCGTGCCCGGAGACCTCCCTCCGGGTCTGGAACACTTGGATCTGGTCGGGAACAAGATCGTAGAGCTCCCCTCCCGAGTCTTCTCCAACCTCACCGAGCTGCAGACGCTGGAGATCTGGCAGCAGCCCTCCCTCACCACCATCGCTGACGACGCTTTCGACGGCCTGGGAAAACTGCAGATCCTGGACGCTACCTCAACGGGACTAAACAAGGTCACTAACCGCACGTTCACCGGTCTGGTGGGGGCCTGGGAGGTTTACATGTCGCTGAACAAGATCCCGGCGATCCCGGCTGGAGCGTTTCACGACATGAAGAACCTGTCCTCCCTGTGGCTGGACGCGAACCTCATCACCACGCTCTCTCCGGAGGTTCTGGACACTAGGTGTGTACACTTGTCAATTCTTCTGTTTACAAACTTGCCTAAAATTATGTACAGGGGTATCAAATATGAAATCGATCAGGTATTATAAAGAATAGCTAGGCGCGGTGTATATTATTGCCCCAGATCACAAGCTTCTGTGTGATCTTTTCATATATTGGCAATCATAATACATACACAGAAACGTTGATACCAAAGGTCCTGCCCCGCTTGTCGGAAGTCTACCTGTGGGAAAACCCGTGGACGTGTGACTGTCACCTCCGCCGGCTGAAGGAACGCATCGATAACAACAACACGGCTCCAAGTATTGACTCTCCCGTGTGCAACGCACCGCCTAAACTCCAGGGGCGCGCCTTTGATACGTTTTCACCAAGGCAGAGACTTTGTGTGTGGTTGATAGGGTACAACAAAAATATCGAGCATTTATAACTTACGAACAGCAAATCAGAAATATAAGACTTTTCACAATTATTACTAGTGAGGAAAAGGTATTTCAAACTCTTTCCCTCCATCTGCAGGATTCTGCCCCGCTTGTCGGAAGTTTTCCTGTGGGGGAACCCGTGGACGTGTGACTGTCACCTCCGCTGGCTGAAGGAACACATCGATAACAACACAGCCCCAACTATTGACTCTCCCCACCTTAATGTGTGCAACGCGCCGCCTAAACTCAAGGGGCGGGCCTTTGATACGCTTTCACCAAAGGACTTTGTGTGTGGTTGATATCAATGATAGGGCACAACAAAATGTCGATTTTTTTACTTATAACTTACGAACAGCAAATGTTCTATATGCTCTATGCGATATTACATGTACTTGATATTTGTTGAATAAATATACTAGGCTAGGTTACGGATCGTTCTATGGCGCACGACCTGGACTATCCGTGTAATGTAATTAAGGCATTTCCTAATAAATACATGACTGTAATATTTACATATCAAGCAATCGATACTGATACGAGGCTAAGTCAATGTAAAGCTCTGTCATTGTAACGTGGATTCATGTATTAAATGGTTTCATTCCTTGACCAGTGTCTCTGCGAGCTGTGAACGTCGCCATGATGTGGATAACGTATAGAACCTGGCCTTACCGTTCTGACGTTAACGCTGGGAAATTCTGACTTTAAGACATAGTAAGAGTAACAGTGGCTACGTTTGAACCTTTGTGTACCTGAGGTCACCACAGACTAACCCAGACGACTGCGCTCTACCACATCAAATATCGTAAGGACACCTAGCCCGAGTGCAGCTGATATAGTGTTGTACTTGACGTC